TTGATAAATATCCATTATTAAATGCTTAATTGGGTTGTGACTGTCTTTTTATTTTTTAGTTGTTAACTTATAGGAAGGGTATGCATACACTTCATAGAATCATTTTATATTTTTGTTTATACTGAATATTGAAGTTTGACCTGAATCTCATTGTTGGTCTAATCTAGTTGGCAGATTTTAATATTTATCAATGCTATACATGTTTAATATTTATATATACTTATAGGTAAAATTAATAAGTGTTCAGTTAGTGTCAGATATGCACCGGGCATTATGCTAAATAATGCTATTTATACTCTTAAAAAGTAGCTCTGTGAAGACAAGGATTTTGCCTGTTTTGTTTACCTATATATCCCAGAACAGTACCTTGTGTGGTAATTATATGTAGAGTAAGAGTATATGCAATTTTACTTTTGAAGTAAAGGAATGTTGTAACCTTCATTTGTGGAACTAGTATTGACACTGTGCCATACAGTATCTCATTTAATCTTTGTGATATCCCTGTGGTAGATTCTAAAATTATTTCCATTTTATATATATTTGAGGTATAGAGAAGTGCTACTGAGGTCACAGACTAGTACATGGTAGAGTTGAGATCTGAACTTATTTCTGTGCTTCCAAAGTAATTGTTTTAAACTTGATCATTTTGGTTAAAATTCTTTAGATGTAAGTTCTAGAAATGAACTTGATTAAACAAAAAGGGAGACTTTATTTATAAGGATACAGGGGTATCTTATGAAAGCCAAGAGTTACATATCTGAGCCCAAGATGGGACCAGAATTAGAAACCAAATTGTATAAAAACCCAGGGCTATCTCTCTCTGTAGTTTTCTTAATCCTTCCTCTTCTCTCCTTGGCGATCTTATGCTAGCTCCTCAAGTAGACTCAGAGATGTCACCAACAGGTTTTTTTCTGAATCCCTGTTCTAAATTGGTAAGACTGGCCAAGGTTGTGTCAGATTCACTCCTTCCTCAGTGAATTCCAAAGTGTGACAATGACTGCAAACAAATCACTTCTGAGGGTCTGTGGATAGCTCTTGAGCTGTCACTGTAATACCCAGTGACATTCTATTTAGTCAAATTGAGTGTTGTAAAAATTCTTTGCCTGTGACGAGTAATAAATATATTTTTACATCACAGCTCAGTGTTTCTAAGATTGAAACCAACCCCATAACAATATTTATTTAGTCTTAGGTAATATAAGACAGTCTCATATTTTCTCATTCTTTCATCTATTAAGTTGAAATAATGGGTAGTGACCTACAAATGGAAAAGTACTGCTCCATTCTACCCCCAGAGGGGCCTAGCTGAAAAAGTGCCCTTTGTTATCCAGTCTGTAGCATTACCTTATGAAGCTGTCTGTAGAAAATGCCTTTGATCATATAAGTAACTGAATCTCCAGATTGACCTACTTTGAATTAAGCTGTGTTCTGTGGAAAGAATTTACTAGTAGCATTTTTCAGAGTGAATTAATACTCAGATTTATATACAGATGACAGATTATAAAAGAACAGTAACAATCTCAGTGTTCAGATCATGTCCCAGTTTTTTTCCTACTTACCTTCTTCAGAAGCTTACTTGGAATTCATAACAACATGTCTTTCCTAAGAACTCTGTATCTTTAAAACAGCTTTTGGTGTTTACTTTTAATAATTTAGAAAAAATGATATGAGACTCTCAAGTTCTTATTTTTATTTAGAGAAAATTGAGTTCAGAGAACTAAAACAAAACACCGAACCAACCCTCAGTAGGCCTTAACTTTAGGTTTTATTTCTGAAAGCTAGTAATAATTAATGTAGAAATTATTTGATCATTTAAATCATAAAGTTACATCAAGAATCTGAAAGTAAAGTGAATTGAGCCAGTGAAAATAAAAATCAAATAAAATCCGTTACACTCATCTCTATTTACAGAAGAAATGACTCTCTCATAGAGTGAGAAAGGAGGGCCAAGCCCAAACTCCCACTGGGAAGTAGGATTGGAAAGGGCAAACACTCATAATTCAGCAAAGTATTATATTTATACTATAAGTAGTTTACATTTATACTTTCCTCCTTTCCAAAAAGAGAGAAAAAATAGGGATTTTTATATTCAGACTTGCAAAGTCTCTATCCCAGCTTCTATCAGTTCTATTTTATCATAAACAAAGGACAGATGAATGAATAAAGAAAATGTGGTACATATAACAATGGAGTATTACTCAGCCATTAAGAAGAATGGCTTTGTGACATTTACCAGTAAGTGGATGGATATGGAGACTATTGTGCTAAGTGACATAAGCCAATCCAAAAAAACAAAAAACAAAGGTTGAGTGTTTTAGCTGGTATATAGAAGCTAACCTACAATGTGTGGGGGGTGTGGGAATAGAAAAATGTTCAGTAGATAAGACAAAGGGGAATGAGGGGAAGGGAGGGAGGATAGGAAAAGGAAAGACAGTGGAATGAAACTGATATAACTTTCCTATTCACATATAGGAATATACCACAGTGAGTCTCACCATCTACAAGAATGGGGTCCTGATTAGAATAAAATATTCCATGCTTATATAATTATATCAAGATGAATTCTACTGTTATATATTATAACTAAAAAGGATCAATAAAAAAAGAAACAGTTTGTTTTTAATCACCAAATCAACAAGGGGAAAATAACCTTATACTGAGATATAGATATGGGGTTTTCCTGCTGCATTTCTACTCCCATGGACAGCTTGTCTTAGTAAGATTTTTGGGTTCTTTTGTCTCCAAATCAATGATGATAATTTGAATGTTAAGGATCTACCATAACAGAATCTTTAGTCTTTTCTGATATTTGGAATCGAAGCCATGGTACTGAAGTTCTTATACAGCTATATATATAAGAGAGAAGATGGATCTGTTTCCTCTCTTTTGCTTGATTGGAGATGGTAGGAAAGACTGAAGGACACTGCATATCTTCTCCTACATCACTTGGTTGTCTTTTAAAGTATAGAAACTTGACTTTGTTCCAGCTCCTTTATCAGGACATTCCCACTTGTCCCATGTTTATTGCCTACACTTGTTATGTTTGTGTCCAGACCTTTTGTTTTTTCTTATCCTGTCGAAGCTTACTTGTCTTAGAAGTGTGAAGGGCTCCTTCTTATACAGTTGGTGCTGCTCTCATGGGTTACATTTGCTCTTTTGTCATATTGGTCCTAACTTGGGTATAGTCATAACCTTCCTCCCGTATTCCTTTGTCTAAGGGAGAACATTTTTCTCTTGAGGAAGAAGATCTTTCTCCCTCTTTTTTTTCCCCCCTTGTGTTACTGAGGATTGATCCCAGGGGTACTTTACCATTTAAACATCCCCAACTTTTTATTGTTTTTTTTTTTTTTTTTTTTTTTTGAGACAGGGTCTCACTGTGATGCTGAGACTGACATTGAACTCCTGTTCTTCCTACCTCAGTTTCCTGAGTCTCTGGAATTAAGGTGTGTGCCACCACACGTGGCAGATGTATGCCTTTTAAATCTGAGGGGCTTAAAATTTTTTAAGCCCTAACTAAGTTATCTCAGTTTTGGTTCTGCTGGAGGGGAAGATATATATATGTGCGTGTATATATGTATATGTATATAGGTTGTATATATATATAGTGTGTGTGTGTATATTTGTAATTTAATAACTTTGCTAGTCCTGGTGAGACAGTAACAAAGAAAAGGACATCAGAGTTGATAAGTCTTCTCTTACCTCTAGTACCTGTTTATTTAATTCTGAGAAAATCTGCTCTTTGTATGACCTTATTTATGTTGATAGATAGCAGGATATAATCTTCCCTTGCAAAGTTTTCAGGAGAAATGCTTGTTAGTACATTCATAAATGAAAATGAATCATGATATTATTTTACCTAGGAAAAGGGAAAAATTTTCTTTACATACTTTGTTCCTCATTGGACCTTCCTTTCAAACTCCAACTGTAAGCAGCTCATCTGTGTATAATAACTGGGCTTTTATAATTTTATTCTTGAATCTCCATTTAAGTTTTCTGTGGGAACATGCAAGCAGAATGCCAAAGTGATTTACAGACCAACTTTTGGGGAATGCTGCATTCTAAAAAGCAAGATATTTGTTTTCTCTTTGAAACTAGTAAGACTGAAATGTATATTTGCAATGACCATCATTTGGATGTTTTTTTTGTGGGGGGTACCAGGGATTGAACCCGGGGACACTTAACCACTAAGCCACATCCCCACTGTTTTTTATTTTTCGAGACAGGGCCTTGCTGAGTTGCTTAGAGCCTTGCTAGGAGGTGGCTTTGAATTTGCCATCCTCCCATCTAGGCTTCTGGAATCATTTGTATTACAGGCATGCGCCACCATGCCTGCCTCCAATTACTAATTTTAAATGGAAAATAAATATTGTTAAAGTACTAAGATCTTTTGCTGAACAATACATAGATGCCATAAATAGTATTCAAAAGGGGTATGAATGTATTCTAGGACAGCTCTTGAAATAATATTATTGCCCTTTTTTTTAAGATTTTTTTTTTTTTAACATTATTTTTATGTGGTGCTGAGGATTGAACCCAATGCATTACACATGCTAGACGTGCGCTCCACCACTGAACCACAACCCCTGTCCCCGTTATTGCCTTTTTGATGCTAGTGGAAACCTTATTATCTACTTTATACCTTTTGCTTATAGTTGAATACTTATTAAATTCATCTCCTGCTAGAGTTTGTCAGTGATATTTTATACTTGTTATAAATTTGTTGGTCACTCTTTTTTTTTTTTTTTAGGTAGAAGAGTAATAATTACAGACTCTAAATTTATTTCAACTTATTTCTTTGTTTATATATGTATATGTATATATTTAATAACTTTATTTTTATGTGGTGCTGAGGGTCGAACCCAGTACCTCGCATGTGCAAGGCGAGCACTCCACTGCTGAGCCACAACCCCAGCCTCTGAACTTCTCATTTTGTTTTTCTCTTGACAGTTACTTGAGTAGTAATTTGTCTATTTCTAATTAAGGTTTTTCTTTAATAACAGATTTATACCTAAAACTGGAAGATGTGACCCATAAATTTAATAAGCCCTGTATAATGGATGTAAAGATTGGGCGAAAAAGCTATGATCCTTTTGCCTCATCCGAGAAGATTCAGCAACAGGTCAGCAAGTACCCATTAATGGAAGAGATTGGGTTCTTGGTGCTTGGCATGAGGGTAAGAGTTATTATTGGCATAACTATATACATTTTTCTTTCTGTGTTTTTCCCTTGAAAAATTATGAATATCATTATAATACTAATATATCAGAAGATAATGTTTTGAAATTAGATTATCTATAACTCCCCAATGTATGAATTATATACCTTAGGTAATTAAGGTAGGGATTTTTATCTCTTGTTCACTGATATATGGTTAGTGTCTCTGGTCCTGGTACATAGTAGGTGATTAAATAAATAAACAACTGAACCTCAGCATTATAACTTTGGTAATTTTGTTTTAAAGAAGCTTTAAGTTTAGTTGCAAAATAAACATTAAAAGTAAATGTGATGTTTTGTATGATTTCCCGGAGAATTGTGCTATTTATACATTCAGTAATTTTACTATATTTTTAAAATGGAAAATAAATTAAAATATAGGTTGCTTCAAACTTTGTGGTTTAAAATAGTTGTTTTATTTCCTAATAATTCTGTTGACTGGCATTTTTAGTTTTTGATTTTAACTGATACAAAATAGTTTTACATATATGGCATACCATGTAATGTTTTGATATGTGTTTAATATTCATATCAGGGTAAACATATCTATCACCTCAAATATTTACTTTTTCTTTGTGGTGAAAATATTCCCAATTCTTTTTTCTAGTTTTAAAAAAATATACTGTACATTATTGTTATCTATGGGTTCCTTACTATATATTAGAATGCCAAAACTTCTTTTCTCTTTCGACCTTTGGATTCGCAGTTTGAGTTGTGGTTAGGGAGACAGTTCTTTCATTGGTTTCACCCACAGCTCCTTATGTGGTTGCTGGTGTCAGATAACTCAACTGGGACTTGCTGGTTTGAAATGACCTTGCTCTTGGTCTACAAGTTGGCACTGATTGTTGACTGGCTTTTATATGTGATGTCATCTGTCAGAAGGCTAGCTTAAGCTTTTTCATGTCACAGTACCACATTCCAAGAGGCACACACCAGCAGGAACTGCAAGTGTTGTTCAGCTGATAGGGTTGGGAAATAGATTTCACTTCTGATGGTGGGAAAAACCAAGTCACGAGTTGAATTACAGAATGCACGAGGATGAGAGAGAATTTTTCAGGCTGTTGTGCAGACAGTACCACGCAGTTGGGAAATAATATGGAATAAAATTTTCTAAACAAATGGTATGTCTTCTAGGTGTGTGGAGATAAAATTTGTGGATAATGCCAAATGATTGCTTACTTATATAAACATAATGAAATCATCATGTAAGATAATATGTGAGTCTTCTGCATTTTAAACAGGAGAGCTAAAAGAAACATTATAGGTAATTGTTAGTGTGATAGTTAGTAATAACTGCACAATCGAATTTGATATGATTGTAAACAAAACAAGAAAAATCACCCAAACATTATTTCATTTTAGATAACGATAAATTGTGGGTATACAGAAAATTAATGGAATAATATTAAAACAAGAAATAGATATCCCATAGCAATCTGACTGGACAGCTATTTAAACCTCCACTCTTTTCAAATTTCTTACCCTCCCATTTTCTCACTTAGTGGATGACTTTTGTCTTTCACTTTAGAAAAAATAAAAACCATCAGATAGGATTTACCTTAATTTCCTGCTAACAAATATTTATACGTTACCTACAATTGCTGTTTTCCTTGTGTTCCTTCCTGTTGAACTGGAAAATTTTTAATCCTTTTGTCTAAAGGCATCCCTTCTTTATATCCTTTAGGTCTCACTCTCTCCCACTATTTCAAGAGCCTTTATATTTCTGTCTGTAGTTTCTTCAGCATTTTTAACATGAATGAGTGCTAGAGTTTGCAAGTAGAGATAATTTGACTTCAGAATCTATTAAGATGATCATGTAATTTTTGTCTTTAATTCTACTTATGTGATGAGTTACATTTATTGATTTGTGTATGTTGAATCAATCTTATATCCTGGGAATGACCAATTTGATCATGAAATGCAATCTTCTTTATGTGTTTTAAAATACTAATTGCTAATATTTTAATAATATTTATATCTATTTTTTATAAAATTTATTTATTTATTTAGTTGTAGATGGACAAGAATGAAAACAGTCCTAAAATGTATATGGACTAATAAAAGACCCAGTATAGCCATAACAATTCTGAGCACTATGAATAAGGTTGCAGGTATCACAATATCTGACCTCAAATTATACTATAGAGTTATAACAAAAACAGTATGGTGTTTTCATAAAAAGAGATATGAAGATCAGTGGAATAGAATAGAAGACACAAGCAAACCCACACAGGTATAGTCATCTCATCCTTGACAAAGGAGCTAAAAAACAATGTTGGAGGAAAGAGACAGCCTTTTTAAACAAATGGTGCTGAGAAAACTGGATATCCATATACAGAAGAATGAAAGGTGACCCCTATCTATCTCCTTGCACAAAAGTCAACTCAGAATGGATCAAAGCCCTTAGAACTACAACAGAAGCTTTGCAACTGATAGAAGAAAACATTGGGTCAACACTCCAACATATAGGCTTAGGCAGTGACTTCCTTAGTAAAAGTTCTAAAGCTCGAGTAATAAAACCAAGAATCATAAGTGGAGTGGATCAAATTAAAAAGCTTCTGAATAGCAAAGGAGATAAGTATAAAGAGAGCTGGGCGTAGCAAAAAATGCCTATGATCCCAATGACTTGAGAGGCTGAGGCAAGAGGATTACAAGTTGGAGGCCAACCTCAACAACTTGGTGGGACCCTGTCTTAAAAAATAAAAAGGACTCAGGTTGTATATAGCTCAGTGGGGTAAAGTGCCCCTGGGTTCAATCCCCAATACCAAAAAAAAAAAAAAAAAAAAAAAAAAAGTGAAAAGAGATCCTTCCTTTTCACATGGGAAAAAATCTTTGCCAGCTACTTTTTCAATATTTAAAGAACTTAAAAGTCTCAGCACCAGTAAAACATCCCAGTCAATAAATAGGCAAATGAACTAAACAGGCATTTCTCTAAAGAAGAAATAAAAATGAATAAGAAATACTTGAAAAAAATGTTCCAAATCCTCAACAAATCAAAACTACACTGAGATTTCATCTCACCATTTAGAATGGTAAACATCAAGGATATAAATAAATGCTGGTGAGGATATGGGGAAAAAGGAACACTTAAACATTGTGTGACTGCAGATTAGTATCACCACTATGGAAACTGGTATGGGTGTTCTTCAAAAGATTGGAATGGAACCATCATATACCCAGTTATTCTACTTTTTGGAATCTATCCCAGAGCTGAAATCAGCATACTGTATTACTGTTTATATTCCAGTATTTATAGCGGCACAATTCAATTCACAATTGCCAGATACATAATGTGTGTGTGTGTGTCCGCGCGCGCGTGTGTACACACACACACAATATGTATATGTGTGTGTGTGTGTGTGTGTGTAAATTGGAGTTCTACTCCACCATGAAGAAGAATAAAATTATGTCATTTGCTGGCAAATGTATGAAACTGGACATCATGCCAAATGACATAAGCCAGACACAGAAAGTTGTGGGTCAAATCTTGTGTGGAAGCTAGAGAGAAATAAGGAATTTAAAAAGGGGATCTCATGAAAACAGAAGTGAGAACTGTAGAGTAGAAGAAGGGGTTGCAGGGAGTAGGAGAGTGTAGGAACAGCAGAATGAAATTGACTGAATTATCCTGTGTAAATGTGTGCATATATTACATTGAATTCTGCTTTTATGTGTAATTATGATATACCAAGTTTTTAAAAAGTTAATTAGAGGGAAGACCAACTAAGTAAAGGGAAGGGGATTGGGGGAGAGAGGAGGGGAAGAAAAAGGGAAATACTAGGGAATGAAAAAGAACAAATTATGTTATATACACGTGAGAATATGTCACAGTTAACCCCCACTGTTATGCATAACCATAGCATGCTAATAAAAACAGTAAAAAGGATATTAAACTATTGATCTTCTCTTGTCTTCTTATATCTTCAACTTCTGCCTATCCACTGTCTGTTTTTGGTTTAAATATGTTCAAATCACTCAATTCTTTAAAAAACAGAACATCAAAATCACTCCTGTTGTAGATTTAACTTGTCTCCTTTTCAGAACCAAACTAGTTACTTCAATTTCTTTACTTCCCACTCAGAATCTAGCTCATTATAATCTGGCTTCTGCCCATCATGCTACCAGATTGATCTTCACTAAGGTCCCTAATAACACCCCCATGTCACTAAATTTAAGTAGCATTTTTCATTATTCATTTTACTTTACTTTGAAAAGCAGCCTTCAATATTGGCCAAGTTCTCCTTGAGACATTTTTTTTTGTGTTGGTGACACCCCACCTCCAGTCTAAGACCACTTTGCAATCTCCTTTACCAGCTCATTTCTTTCTGTATATTCTTTAAAAGTTGTGGTAATTTCTTGTTTCCATTTTAATACTCCGTCTCTTTTTTTGTACAGTGCTTTCTGTTCTTTTTGGTTCCGTTTTGGTTTCACAGATAACTCCCAAATGTGCATATCTTCAACCTCCACTTTGTCTTATATCTTCTAATTTGTGTGTGTAACAGCCTACCAGACGTTTACTTAAACGTCTCAAACCCAATACCGACTGACACATTTATCCCTCTCCCAAATGATCATAACAGTAACACCAAATCTCTCTTATTCCCTGTTTAGTGAATGACCTGTCATACATTCAGTCTTATAAAGTAGAAACCTGGTAGTCACTGTCATCCCTCAGAGCCATCTCTTGATTCCCAAACATCTCTTGAGTCTCATTTTCACTGTTGTCCCTCTCTGAACTTTGGTCTCAAATTCAGTTTTGCTCTTTTCTAATTTGCTCTCTAAACATTGTAAAATATATGTCTAATCACAACATTCTCTTGTTTAAAAACTTTTTATTGGGTTTCCATTACCTTTAGTGTACACTTACAGGATAAATAAGTAAGGCATTGCGTAATTTAGCTTTGCTAGGATGTATTGCTTCCCTAGATAAATAAAGGTTTGTTTGCATTTCCTTATATTTTTTAAAAATTTTGTTTGTGGTGCTGGGGATTGAACCCAGGTCCTTGAGTTTGCTGAGCTTTATTCTCAGCCCCCTGTTTGTATTTCTTTAAAAGTAGCTTTATTAAGACTTAACTTATATATCTTTGAATTCATTCAGCTAAAGTCCAGTTGGGGGTATAGCTCATTGGTAGAACATTTGTCTAGAATGGACAAGTTCCTGATTGGATTCCCAGCACCACAAAAGTAAAAATAAATAAACAAAGCTGTCCTCTGGTATCTGGGAGTTCCGCACTCATGAGTTCAGTCAACTGTAGATCAAAAATATTTTTTAAAAAAATCACATTTGTACTACTGTACAGACTTTTTTCTTATTCTGTAAGCATTACTATATAAAACATTTACGTTATTTTAGGTAATATAAGTTATCTAGTGATGGCTTAAAGGATACAGATGGAACTTTAAGTGTCCTTGGATTTTGTTATCTGCAAGGGGTCCTGGAACCAATCCTCTGTGGATATTGAAGGAGAAGTGTATACATTTAACTGATTTTCATCTATTTATGTAGTTGGACAATCATCACCATATTTACTTTTTTTAATCACTCTTCAAAAACACTTTATACTCATTAGCAGTCACTCCCCATATCTTTCCAACCCCTCTATTGGTATATTACAACTTATCTATTTTCTGTGTCTGTAGATTTGCCTCTTCTGGACATTTCATATAATTAAAATAATGTGGTCTTATGACTGTCTTCTTTTAATATTTTAATATATTTATATTTTTTTAGTATTTTCAAGGTTCATCCATGTTGCAGCGTATATTAGTACTTTAATTGCTGAATAACATTCTACTATATGGATAATACACATTTTATTTTTCCACTTGTTTATTGGGGGACTTTGGGTTATTTCCTTTTTAATGAATATTTCTGTAAATGTTTCTATTTACGAGTTTTATTTCTTTTGGGTAGATTTCTTAAAATGTGAAATTTGTAGCTACTATGGTTAAGTTTATGTTTAGCTTTTTAAGAAGCTGCTAAAGTAATTGTACCATTTTACATTCCTACCAAAAGTATTATTTTCTCATATCCTTGACCCATGTTACTTTTTTTATTCTTTCTTGGGGGAGGAGGGGATCCACCTGGTAAATGTCTCGTAGTGTCTTGTGGTTTTGATTTGCTTTTCCCTAATAGTTAATGTAGTTGAGCATCTTTTCTTGAACTTATTGACCTTTATCTATCTATCTACAGAGAAATGTCTGTTCATATTTTTTGTCCACTTCCAATTGGCTTGATTTTTATTACTGAGTTGTATACAGATCCCTTATCCCTTATCAACACTTGATTTCATAACTATTTTTTCCTGTTCTGTGGGTCATCTTTTCACTTTCTTGATGGTGTCCATTGAAGCACAAAAGTATTTAGTTGTGAAGTCCATTCTATTTATTTATCTATTTTCCTTTTTTAAAAAAACCTTGTGCTTTCGGTATCATGTGTAAGAAACCATTGCCTATCCCAAAGTCATCAAAATCTAATTGACAGATTTAAACACTTTAACTTTTAAAAAATAATTTCTTTAGTGGGTGGTAAGTTCATTGAACTTTTAAAAATTACAATGGTTGTTTAGACTGGTAATGACGACAGACTGGGATAATTTTGAAATTAATGTTCCAACCCTGTTCTAAATTTTATTTTTGAGATAGGATCTCAGTCAGTTGCCCAGGCTTGCCACGAACTTGCCATCTTTTTGTGTTGCCTTCAGAGTAGCTGGCATCACAGGCAAGCGTCACCACACCCAGCCTTAGAATCTTACGGTTATTTGTTTATTCATTGGTCCTAGTGATTGAACTCAGGGTCTCACTCATGTTAAACATGTGCTCTACCACTGAGCTATGTCCCTAGCCCTAAACCCTTTTGAAACATGTTAAAAAAAAAAAATTATGATTTTTTTTAAAAAAAGTTTTAGTTGTGTTTAACAGTTCTTTTAAAAAATAATTTGTCCTGTAATTGAATGTAATCTTTGGTGTTTTTTTTTTCCATTTGTAGTACCATTTTGTTCAAAAGAAATTATCTTTCTTTGGCTGGGGGTGTAACTCAGTGTTCTAGCTCTTGCCTGGCACACTTGAGGACCTGGGTTCCAGCTCTAGCACTTACTGCCTTAAATAGGCCTATATGTGAGAAAGAATGTGATTTGAACTTTTTCAATGTGGTGAAACATTTTAAATGGTAATTAGCCATATCAGACTGGAAGTTAAAATGTATCAATTTCTAAATATATTATTTTTTTGTTTGTTTGTTTAAAATATTTATTTCTTTTAGTTGTACACAATAACTTTGTTTTCATTTAGTTTTTATGTGGTGCCGAGGATCGAACCCAGGGCCTCGCACACGCTAGGTGAGCGTTCTACAACTGAGCCACAATCCAGCCCCTAAATATATTCTTAATGCTTCTTAAAAATAATTTTTGAGAAGATGCATACTTTTATGGTTTAGATTCCAAAAACTATAGAAACATATAGTGAGTAGTTCACCTCCACACAGGATATCTTATTATAGTTTTTTTTTTTATCTGCAGTGTATCCTTGAGGAGATACTTTAAACTTGTACAAATATGGCATCTGTGTGTTCTATTATCACAAAACCTACTTTGAATACTATTTTGTGTTTTGCTCTTTTCCCCCCACTTAACATATACCAGAGATCTTTCTACTGTGGCACAGTATTGTTATACCATAATTTAATCAGTTCCCTTTGATGGATTTCTAGTTCTAGTCTTTTGCTGTTGTAAGTAATGTTACAGTGAATGACCATAGACCTACCTCATTTTATCAATGTGCTAGCATATCCTTGGGATACATCCTTAGAGGGAAATTGCTGGGCTCATGTACATTTATAATTTTGACTGATATTGGCAATTTGTCTGACATGGAGCATGTCTTTCAACCGGGACAATTTTGCTGCCCTGGGAGACATTTGGCAATGTCCAGAAGAGACTTTTTCAGTTGCCACATTTAGAGGGAAGGGCTGTATTCCTGGTAAGTTTGAGAGCTGTTTGATTTCTGTGAACTCTTCAAATCCTTTGTTTTTCCTTAAGTGTAAACTGTAAACATTTCTTATATTCATCATATAATAAATCTCAGCTAGTTTTTCATTTGTATTTTGATTTCTGCATGGGAAAACACTAAACAATCATACTGTATGGGATAAAAATTCTTAGTTTTGGTTGCAAAAGCCTTCTCTAATTATGTTATTCAAGGATTCTTCCATGTTAAGAGTACTTTTATCATTTCATTTTGTGCATTTTGGTCTTTGATATATTTGGAATTTACTTTGGTGTACAGCATAAGGTATCATTGTTTGATAAATAATCCATCCTTTCTCACTGGTTTAAAATCCTATTATCACATAACTAAATTCTCTTATATGTTTGATTCTAAAATATTTTTAATATCTGGTAGGATGGAAGGTTAGTCCTGTTTTGTTTTTTCCTGGCTCTTCTTTTTTTTCTAAGTGAAATGTTTTTTGGAAGAAAGGGCAATCCTTTTTTTGAGTTGGGGCCTCATTATATTGTCCAAACTAGCACCTAAAATTCCTAAGCTCAAGCTATTCTCCTGCTTCAGTCTCTTGGTTGGGACTATGGGGGTATGCCACACCTATTCTATGTGAACTTTAGAATTAACTTACATGGTTAGTTGTAAATTATCTGAATAGAATTTATATCTTTTATGAAGTGGAATTGTCTTCTTGGAGAACATTCATGGGTGTTTGTTTTAGGAATGTTCTAAAGATGTCTTCATATAGATTTTATACTTACTCAGTTTATATGTCTTAATCTTTTGGTTTCATTTGTAAATGGGATCTTTTTTCCATTTTCTGACTGGTTTTATGATTATAAAAGATTGTTTTCTGTTTACTAATTTGTACTTAATCACCATTTCAGATTTTTATTGTTTATATTCATTTTCAGTCGATTTCTAGTTTACAGCAATTACCTATGAAGAGTAATAATTCTATATTGTCCTTTTTATATGATTATACCTCTACTTTTTGGTCTTATCTATTTGCATCTGCTACTAACTCCAGAACAATATTAGATAATAATAATGACAAAAGACATTGTGATAGAATACTTTTTGTGGAAGCTTTTTATATTTTAAAAGAAATACTTCCTTATTTTTCCTTTAAACCTGATGCTAACTTTTGGTAGATTGAGATAGATAAGGTTATCTACAGTGGATATTAAATTTGTTAAATACCTTTTCAGCATCTGTTGATATGAGTACGTGATTTTTTTCTTTTCAAACTATTAGAATGAATGATATAGGTTGATTTCATTTTTAACTCGCCTTTAACTCATATTGCTGGGTTAACCTCATGTGGTCAAGAGTATTCTTTTTTTAGTGTTCACTGTTTTTCTTTCCTCTTTTTGATAGGTTTATCATGTTCATTCTGATAGCTATGAGACACAAAATCAGCACTATGGAAGAAGCTTAACAAAAGAAACTATAAAGGATGGTAAGTATTTAAAAAAGAAATAATGTTTTTTTTTATAGTACCATTAACACTAATTCTGAAGTCATTTCAGTTTTAGTTTTCCTTCAAAATAATAATCAAATTCATAATAATTTTTTTAAATGAAACAGATTCACAGAATTGGATTAATCAGAACTCCTGGTTCATAATGCATCCAAATCATGGGACCACAGATGGCACTTTTTTAACATTTTCATTCATATCTTACTAATAAGTGTGTTAATTTTTCATTACTGTGACAAAAATCCCTGAGACAGTCAACTTTTTAAAAGGAGAAAATGGGTATTTTGGCTCACAGTTTCAGTGTATGATCATTTGACCTTATTGCTTTGGACTTAGGGTGGCACAGTACATCTTGGCAGGAGCATGCTGTGGAAGAAAACTGTTCTCCTTCTGGCATCCAGGAAGCATGAAGAGGGGGACAAGGGGCCAGGATCTCAATATGCCCTTCAAGGGCACAGTCTCAGTGACCTAATTTCCTCCCACTAGACCCGCCTCAAGGTTTTTCCACCTCCCAGTAAGACCAAACCTTCACACATAGGCAGGGGACACTATAGATTTAAACTAGCCCTATGCTTTTTAAAAAAATATTGAACATTTGTGAATCAGCTATCTAGCTCATACTGAAACTAAAGGTTATCTTTAAAATCATTTTTTAAGTAAAGACTATGAGACATAGTATATCAAAATTGCTTGTTACATAAGAGACTTTTAAGATACATGCTGTGTATAATGCTTTTTTGAAACTTCCAGTGTGTAGTTGAGCTATAAAACTTTTAAATAGTGTCAATATATACTTCTAAAATATTTGTGGTCAAAATATCACAAAAACAAGGATATCCTATATCTCTGAAACGTTCATTCTTAGTTCTACTAAGATAAGGACCAGTTTATGTGTAGCACGAGTTTGTGGAAAATTTTTATGTTATGTATAGAAAATAAACATCCACAGTGTGAGCCTGACAGTTAATGCTTCCTTTGGTATACTTAACCAATAGCCAGATAATATTCAGATTGACTTTTTAAAGAATATTTTTCTGGGATACAGTTTGGTCCTATCTGAATATATTTCTTAACAGTTATTGTTCCAAGGTGAAGGAACAAGTTATTTAAAAGCAGAAATAAAATTGTACATACCCATAAATTCCCAAGTATGACAAAATTTTAAGACATAGTTTTAAGAGATGCCTAATGACATGGGTTATTTAAAACATTTAAAAGTTTCTGTTTTACTTAACAGTCATCCTGGAGAAGTGCTAGTCTCAAAAGCAAGTTTTAACTCTTGTGAAAAGACTAATCAGTATTGAGGAAAAATAAAAATTAGTAGAATTATGATTTGGTATTTGGTAACAGGCCATTGACATCATTAAAAATGGTTATAATTTGACTCTAGAATTTAGATTAACTCTTAAATGTGATTCTGACAAACAGGTATTTTTTTCCATAAAATTCCTCACAGTAGCAAATTTTTGGAATGGCATTTCTTCAGAGAAAACATAGAACTAAACTTCCAGTCTACCTGTCATAAATTTATTTTTCTTTTTTCTTTTGTTTGAGTGGAGTATTTCACTTTACATTTGTGTCATTTAAATGTTTTCTTATATGAGTTCATCACCAAAAATTGAGATCTAAGGTTTCTATGTCTAACTGGAATTCCTAGAATTCCAAGTTTAGCGAAGTAACTGTAAGGATGGTGGGGAAAATACTGAAGAATTTTATCTACTATGAATCCACTTTCCAAATGATAACTATTTTATACATTGATTCTAATCCTAATGTATTGTTTTATAGGAGTCTCCAGGTTTTTTCATAATGGGTTCTGTCTAAGAAAAGATGCTATTGCTGCCAGTATTCAGAAGATTGAGAAAATTCTGCAGTGGTTTGAAAGCCAGAAACAGCTTAGCTTTTATGCAAGTTCATTACTATTTGTTTATGAAGGTTCATCTCAGCCAACCACTACAAAATCAAATGACAGAACTTTGGCAGAAAAGTTTTTGTCCAAAGGACAATTGTCAGACACAGAGTTACTGGAGTACAACAATAACTTTCATGTGTTAAGTTCCACAGCAAATGGAAAAATAGAGGCTTCAGTAGGTAAAAGCTTATCCAAGATGTATGCTCGTCACAGAAAAATGTATTCAAAAAAACATCACAGTCAGACTTCATTGAAAGTTGAAAATATGGAGCAAGACAATGGGTGGAAAAGCATGTCACAGGAACATTTAAATGGAAATGTACTTTCCCAACTGGAAAAAGTTTTCTACCATCTTCCCACTGGTTGCCAAGAGATTGCGGAAGTAGAAGTGCGAATGATAGATTTTGCTCATGTGTTTCCTAGCAACACAATAGATGAGGGATATGTTTATGGTCTAAAGCATTTAATTACTGTACTTCGAAGTATTTTAGACAATTGAATCTTTTGCTGCAGTCTTTTTAAGTGGTGGACAAATCATCATAAAGAGCAGCAGTCATTATCTCTGCACCTGTAATGCTGTGTAAAAACTTTGTATTGTGAGTCAACATTTTATTTGTCTTTATACTTTTGGTAGAAAGGTTAACTTTTTTATAATCTTACTCAGGAATACTAATTTGTTCATTAGAAAACTATGAAGAATAAAGAAACAGGAATGTTAAGCAGGGAATGTGGTGGTACATGGCCTGAACATCTATTTGGCTCAAGTAAAATGCAAACCATTATTCAGTAAGAGTTTATTTAGCTTTCTGTAGCCAATGTATCATGAAATCTGTCCACCCAACCTTGAAAATGAGCCATATCTAACCTATGACATAATTAGAACACCTTCAAAATCTAGAAAGCACAGGTTGATATCCTTAGTATTGCTATGTATGAAGTTATTAAAACTGGAGAAAATTCTACTTCAGAAATAAGTACCATTTAGGTTTTATATTAAAAGTTCAGACCAGCATATCAAAAGGTGCTTCTTAGTGAAATGATTTAGAATTGTTGCATTCCAAAAGCAGGTTTTCCATTTAATTTCCATTTATCTATGTAATACAAAATATTATACTTTGTGAAATACACAACATAAATGGACAACAACAGCAACAACAACAAATATCTTGAAATTAAAGGCACTGATGATTTTTACCAGGGTCAGAAGAGAGAAATTATTTGCAAGAAACAAAATTTTTTCTTTAAAATTCTTTTATTGCAAGTTCTTTTGTGGCAAAAATGGAATCTATATTTACTACAATGTGAGAAGACATTACATGATATGTAGGTATACATATAATACTTTTTCTCAAACAGAGGCTTCAAAAAGGTGAATGATTGAAATTTTATTTTTCCTCTAAACAATATTTTAGAGTGTTTTGCTTTTAAAATTCATGTATTTGTGGTCCCACTTAGTTAAGCAGTGGTATAAACGTTTGTTGCTAAATATAGTGTTTCTCAGAATTTGGTTAAGCAGTGAAAAACAGCATCTGATCGTGTAAGTGTTTTTAAAAATACTGTGTGTAAATTAGTACATTGTACAGGGTTTGGCACATATCTAAATCTGTGCTTCTGTTTCACTATTATTCGTAACAGCTTTAGATCATATCAAAAGAGAAACTAATTTTATTGGGGGCAGAGGCAAAAACAGATTTGTAAATATTACCTTTGTTTTACACACACACCACGTTTTAAAAAATAACTAGGTAATTTTCATTGAAAACTTGTAAGACTTTAAAATTAAATTTGAAAATAATTTGATGTTAATGCTTTCAAAGCACTTTGATTCATTAGTAATATATCTAAGTAGTTGAGCAGTTTTACCATATTCCTGGAACACATTTTGAAGTTATGATTTAAGATCTTTTCCTCCTCTTTTTACCTCAGAATCACAATTTAAACTTTTAAATCCAAGTGCCATTTTTATGTGGTATGGAGGAAATTTTGTTTCTTAGCTTCCCAACTCTCACTGAGGGTACTTTGCAAATATCTGAGTCCAAACAAAGTCACCAGATAAATTTCTATGAATACTGTACTTAGCAAATCTTTTAAACTGGCATAACTTTATATGCATTTTGTTATTTTTATTTAGAATTAGTGTAAAATATTTTTCCTTGGGATGTAATGTTTTTCTGTATTCCCAAGTGGGTATTGGCCATACGTTTTTGTGGGAATGAAATTCAAGTCTTAATTAATAAGAAACTTTTTTTAGTTTTACTCGTTTTTTCCTTCAATATGGACTTTTGTTGTTGTTGTTGTTGTTGTTAGATAGTGTTAAGCTCATATAAATGAACACTATGTTGAATCTTCAGAGGATTTTTGTATGGGATTGTGTCAGCCTATGTACATTAAATTTAATAAATTTAAGTATTATCAGATTATTTGCACATTTTAGTTCAATAAAGTCTGAATCATCTGTTCTAGATTTTCTTTATCTGTATTTGGAAATAGAGTTTTGTAAAGTCAATGTCTTGCCTTTCTGATAAAATAGATCATGTTTTGTTTTAATAAAACAAGAAGTGCTTTTATCTTTGTTTTTCAGGGAAGGGATTAACATTTAATTCTTTTTGTTTACATTTTTTTATCACTGTTACCCAATGATCATTTTATGTTATTACTTTATAAGTAAGCTTGTATGTAACAGAATAAGTATCTGTTTCTGTAATCTACATGTGACTATTATCTAGTCCTGTTTTAAGATTATGCGGAAGTATGCCACTGTGGGGATGAATGATCACTATTCAGCAAACATGTTTGAACATGTAAATGTTTAAGAAATAAGCAAATTAATGATATGGTTTGGGTTAATAGGATTATTAATTTTTTCTCCCCTAGGAAACATAAATAATAATGTTAGTGTATTTCTTATGAAATGCACTCATATAAAGGACTTTTAAGAAATTGTGGATGTGAATACATTTCTCAAATGAAATTAAATTGTAAAATAGTTTTATAATAAAGTATTTACATTAATTGATATTTTAATATGGATGGAAGTTGCATAGATTGAAATAAATTAAAATCCACGATAAATGATACATATTTTATCTAAATAGTTTTTCAAGAAATAATTATGAAAATGTGTATATTAAATGGCTCTAACATGGAGCTTGTATTTCAAATTGGTATTCATGATTCTTTGTTTTATATGTCTGGAAAGATTGTACTTATTATGCCTCTTTACACTACAATTTGCTACTGTGGGCCTCAAGACTGTTCTACTGAATTAGATAACTTTTAAAGAATTTTGGATTAAGTATAATTTAGTATTTATGATTTCCAAGATATTCTTATCATGTCTGTAAAGTCTCTACCAAATTATAATATTTGAAAAGGAATTAATTTCCATAGTTCTTTGAGTTGTAGTTTTCTTGCTTCAGGAACCTGGAAACACATTTTTAATTTTATTTTTTAAGGATATTGAAATATTATAGGATAAACAAACTAGAACAATGAAATAATTTTATCATGAAATTACAGAAATCATGTCCACTATTTTAAAGCATTGTCATCTTTTTAGAACCATTTTATCTTAGAGTTGACATTTAAACTTGATTTGCTTTAAAAATTGTTTACAGTGCTTTGTAATTTTATTCCTTATCCAGTGCCTTTAACCTTGATTTGGTATATTTGTAGCTTCAGTTTTCCTTTCTATTGTATCTTATAATGTCTTTAATAGCCCAGGAGGCATCAATCTCTTCTTAAAAAATTGTCAGTTTGATTATCTGAAGATGTAGTAATTACTCATTAATATTTTGGGAAACAAATACAGTTTCCTTTGGAGGCCAGGCTTCTTAGTTTATTCAAAAACATCGGATGTATCGGATGAATAATGTGTGCCAAGCATTTGTAATCCCTACTCCTAGTATACAGTTTGAACTAATCAGACAAGGCCCTAACTATTTTAAGCATCCTGTCTAGGCCAAGTGGGTTAGGAACTCAGTTTAAATAGAGATAGAGAAAAATGCATTTAAAGATAACTAGCATTTGAGTTAGTGTAATGATTAATAAGTACTGAATTAAGGTGAGGCAACTAACCATTACAAAGTTTAGGTATTTTGCAGCTTTGTAAACTTCATTTGACTCTTGAGTTTGGGTAGTAGCTATTGATAGTGTAAAAAAGCCTTAATTTTTCAATATTCTTGGTGGTAAAGGTACGTTTACTTAGACTGTCCATTTAGAGTAGTGTTTAACATAACATTACTGTGAGAAAAACATTCCATTACATATTCATAAGCACATTAACTGCACATTTTAAAATTGTATTTTACAGTTTAGTACAAGTAATTTTAGGCCTCAATCTTAAATCACTGGTATTTAAAATTTGGCAGTAGGGGGTTGTAGTGGCTCATGCTATAGTCCCAGAGACTTTGGAGGCTGTGGATTATAAATTTAAGGCCACCCCCAGGCAATATAGGGAGACCCTATCTCAAAAAGTCTGGGGATATGTAGCTCAGTGGTAGAGCACTCCTGAGTTCAATCCCCAGTACTACCAAAAAAAAAAAAAAATTATGAAATTAACGTTTTGACTCAGTGATTTTATTGAAATTTTAAATAGTTCAGGAAAATTGTTAGTATTTCAGGGAAAGTAGAGTCATCATCATTTTTTGTTAATGTTTTAAATTCTTATTGCTTAATTTGATGGATTCTAGTAAGAGGAAAAGGTACTCATGCAATTAAACAAATTGGCATGTACTTTCAAGAATTGTTTTGTTTTTAATGTCATCATTGGGGTTAAATTTTGGCCTGGTGTTCACCTAAAATATAAACAGTGTAATTATAAAGTGAAATAATCTTAAGTATGATGTATGATACACCTGCATATAAATGAAAATGGAGTGCACACAGACACTTTACTATGGGAACTGTACTGGAAGATTTATGAAAGCATGTGAAATTGCACCTAAAATTGTGTTATTAGTGACTATAAGCAGCAATGCTAAATTTCTTGTACTTGATGAATGAATGTACTTAGTCACAGTAACTTTGGTTTAAATGTCTAAGTAATGTCTTTAGTTTTTTTTTTTTTTCTTTTTTTTAGTGTGTTTGTAATTTGTACTATTGATGGGGGTTATTCTTGGACTGCAGGGGTTATTGTCAATGTGTGATTTGTGTTTTTGTTTTATAGAATCATCTAATGTGATATACCAATTTTTATAAGTGATATTTAGATAATCCTAATAACTGTGTATATTTGACAACCTATTAAAATGTTTTGCATTGGAGTTTTTTTCCCCCCCATTACTTGTAGCATGCTTATAGCCTCATGGTAATTTAAAAGTCACTCATTCAGTCAAATATTTTAGTGTGTTTTATGTACCAGAAACTATAGGCATCACTAGGAATTCAAAGATAGAACTAAGTGTTAGTAGAAAGAAAGTCCACTTCAGGAATCATTTTGTATGAATATTTTCTATCATATGAACTAAATAAAGTCTAATTTACAGAAGTGGACTATAGGAGAAACAAATTGACTTGGCTGTGAAAACAAAGTAGATAAATTTTTGCATGTATTTGAAGCTTAGTGAATTGGTTACTTAATCAGTGACCCAAGTTATTATTTTCATGTATTAAGAGGAGGGTACACCTACACTTTACCAAGCATAGTCTTTAAAAAGTTGAAGATTCAGTTCCTGTTCACAAAAAATATGCTGTCTGGTCTTGGCGGGGGGGGCGCATGTAAATGTGGGGTAAAATGTTATTAGAGCTATGACTGATACCTAGCAGGATTATGAAAGAGGGCAGTTGGAACAGCACAAAGAAATAAAGGGTCATGGTTCATAACAGCAAATGTAAGTCAATGTCTAGAAATGTCTCATTCAGCTTCTGTGTGTATGTACATGGGAAAGATCAATACTTCTCAAAGCACCCCCTCCCCACCTCCCTGCCCCTGTTATGACTGGCTGCCAGCTGCTGAAAATAACAGGGAACCCTGCCACTATGGTCTCCTCGTTACAGCTAAATATAAAGACTTCATCTTTTAGATGAAGTGAAATACAAAGTGAAAATAATTTTAATGTAATAATAAGAGTGAAAAATAACCTCTTGTGGATTTTGCTTCAATGCATACTCTTCAGTAGTGATGCTGCTGGTCCATGGACCACACTTTAGCAAGATTTGCAAGAAGTTCTCAGAATATATGAATGTGGTATAATTCATATGCTTGGTTTGACGTTGAAAATTATGAATTTTTAAGGAAAGGTAGGAATGTCTTTAGAATTTTTTTGTAATGCTGAGGATCAAACATGGGACCTTGTGCATAATCAGCAAGCACTGTACCACTGAGCTACACCCCTAGCCCTTAAAGTTTTTACTACATGTTAACATAATTTGAGAAAGTGCCTTGGGATTGCCTATTTTTTTTTTTTTTTTTTTTGGTAAGGATCAAGGTAGAAGTCATCATTTTGGAAACAGTTGCCATTTGAGTACATTTAATAGGGCAGCTCTGAATATTGCAAAGCAAGCACTGGGGACTTAAAAAAAAAAAGTGTTTTTGTTTGTTTGTCTTTAATGGAGAATTTCCATACAAAGAGAAAGCTGTTTTTGAAGGCAATTCATTGGCTGGGAAGAAACCCTCGTTCAGATTTGTTAATTAGGGCATCTAGCGGAAGGCCAGCAAATACTGACTTCATATCCAAGTCTATTAGAACATTCTGTGGTTTGACCTTAAGCAGTAGGTGTGAGTGCATTCCATTAGCCATCACCGGAGGAACACAAAGAAAATGAATATGATGGGGTAGGGACATATTATTCTATGCAGAGATGAACTATATTATCTCATGCATTTTGAAGATTATAAACTTAAGGTAAACAGGTTTAGCTTATGGGATTCGGATCCAGTTCAAAAAACATCGTCATGTTTGCTAATTTGTAAAGAAACTACTACCACAGTCTTAATTTCCATTTTCCACACTCCTTACAGTAGTTGGCCCTAACCCATCCAGGTTATTTCAGAGGCAGAACAAATCAAGCAATGGTCTGACCAGCTTGAGCACTCTGTCAGCAATTGTTGCTGCACAATGACCCAAAATGTAAGTGGCTTAAACAACTTTATTGTTTGTATGGCTCTATAAGTTGGTTGGGTCGTTCTGCTGGTCTTGGCTAGAATTACTCATGCTTGTAGGAAGGTCAGCTGGTGTGTGGCATGTGGATTGATATAAGTCTCCTACATCTTCTCAGCAGAATAGTCCAGGCATCTCTCTCCTTTTAAGGGTCCAAGAGAAGCTGAAAATATGAGAACAGGATTAAAGTTTATGTTAAAGTTGCTACTGTTGCCAAATCCAGAGTCAATGTGGGAAGGCACTAAAGAAAAGCATTGACAGAGAAGGGGTCATAGCCCAATCAACACATGCTCCAACCTCAGAGTAGCTCACACAGGGCACCAGAAAGGTGAAACCTGTCATGGTTCATGGTTTAATCAGTCAACCCCTTCAGAGATAAGTAAGACTAGATATTTAATTCTAAGTATCATAACAGAGGCAGCATGATAAGAATCATATGCAAATCTTTAAAAGCCTTTTTCTTTTTTACTTTTATCCAAGTTTCCATTGATAACTTCCTCTAGGTAGAGCCCAGGGGGCAGCTCCTCTTCAATTTTAAATTACTGTGTTATTGTGGTTTGTTATCCTAAGCACTCTCATCTTATTCATGAGCCTCCTTGATGAAATGTGTCAGTTGATTTTCTTCCAAGTGTGTACAAACTGTAAGCTTCTATGACAAAAGTTACACACACACACACACACACAAATGCACGTTTTATATGTAGTATTAATACCAGTCCTTTAATTGATGTTAAAACTATTTTTTCACTGAACTAGTAATTTGGGTTCAGTATTAGATGCAAGAGCTACTGAATTCTAAAATAATATTTGAACTTTGATATCCTATTCTATTGTCAGTTTAGTTGATTCATGTTCCTCTAAATCAGAATTTCACATTAATTCATTGTTGTTTTCTCCCTACCACTTTCTCTTATTTTATTATTAGTATATAATATCCCAGCAAGAGTGAAAATTCATTTTTCCCAGAGTGGATATTATTATTTTTACCCACATATTAGCCTGTTTTGTGTTCCTAGAAACAAAATATCAGAAGCTGGAAACTTTATAAAGAAAACAGATTCATTAGGTTCATGGTTTTGGAAGCTAGAAGATTTGGTGACTCCGTTTGTTCAACCCCAGATCAAGACCTTCTGAATGCCTCAAGCATGGTGAGAAGCATGACAGGTCACAGGCAAGACAGGAAGCAAGAGAGATTAGGGAGCCAGGCTTTATTCTTTTTATAACAACCTACTCTCGTGGGAACTAATCTCTGACAGACCATTAATGTTTTCCAAGGGTGGGACCCCATGACCTAATTACCTTCCTCTGTTCCTCACCTGTTAAAGCTTCTACCACTACTCAATATTGCTGGGCTGTGAATTGTGAGCTTCCAGCACATGAACTTTTGGGAGACACAAGCTATATCCAAACCACAGCAACCCTCCAGTAGACCACTGCTTAAACATCTTTTATTGACTTTTCCTTGTCCCTGTAATTATCATCTTATTTCTTCCCTTTTCAGCAAAATTCTTCCATTTATTTCCACTTCTCCTATTTTCTGTTAAGTTATTCCACTGAGGCTTTGACAGTCTCATCCCCTCCACCCCAGCAACAGAAATGGTTATTGTTGAGGACACCAGTGACCTCTATATCGTTAAATTGAAGTTCAATTCTCACCTCTCATTTTACATGACACAGTAAAATGAAAAGTCAAAGCAGATCTAAATAAATTGAGGACACATTGTGTTTATGGAGGTAAAGACTCAATGTCTTTTAAAAAATATTTTTAGTTGTAGATGGATACAATACCTTTATTCATTCATTCATTCATTCATTCTACCAGGAATTGAACTCGGGGGCACTCAACCACTGAGCCACATCCCCAGCCCTATTTTGTTTTTTATTTAGAGACAAGTCTCACTGAGTTGCTTAGTGCCTCGCTTTTGCTGAGGCTGGCTTTGAACTCCCGATCCTCCTGCCTCAGCTTCCGGAGCTGCTGGGATTACAGGTGTACACCACTGTGCCCAGTTTATTTATTTATTTTTATGTGGTGTTGAGGCTCGAATCCAGTACCTTACACGTGCTAGGCAAGCAGTTTGCCACTAAGCTACACCCCCAGCCCTCGATGTTTTAAAGATACCAGTTATCATCCAAGTGATCTATGGATTTAAGATAATTCTAATTAAAGTGCTGAATGAAATATTCCCCCATAGAAATATACAATCTTCCTTGTCAGTTTCCCTTCCCACCTCCATTCCCCAGCAAACAGTGTTCTGTTTTCAAATCACATGCATTAGTTTGAATTTTCAATATTCATGTACTTTATTTGGTCTGGTTGCTTTCATCATAACTGTTTTGAGATTCATTTTCATAGTTGCATGTATCAGTAGATACATGAATAGAAGTCTGTTTTATGTATGTACCATAATTTGTCCATTGACCTGTTGAAAGAAATTTGAATTGTTCCCATTGTTTGGGTACCACCATAACAAGGTTTCTTTGAACTTTTGTGTCCAATTCTTTGTATCGACGTATGCTTTTCTTTTTCTTGAGTAAATATCTAGAAGTAGAATGACCAGGTCAGGTAGTGGTTTAACATTTCAAGAAAGTGCTAAACTATTTTCTACAGTGATTTTCTGTTCTACATTTTTACCATTCACTTGTTACATGTACTTTACAACACTGGTATGGTCAGTTTTTAAAGCTTTTAGATATTCTAATTCATATAGCTCATTCTGGTTTTACTTTGAATTTCACTAATCATGTAAAGTATCATTTTTTTGTGCTTGTTTGCTACCTGTATGATTTTTTATGGAAGTGTATGTTTAATTTTTTTGCCCATTTCTTTATTAGAGGTTGCTTTTTTAAAAAAAAAATTAGTATTAGGAGTTCATCATACATTCTAGATTCATGCTCTTTATCAAATATGAGATTTGCAAATGTTTTCTCCCAGTCTATGGCTCATATTTTATTCTCATGACAGAGAAGATATTTTGTCTTCTGTTTAAAGACCAGAAATTCTTAAATTTGCATTTTCATCATTTTTTTTCTTTTATGAATGGTGCTTTTGATATTGGATCTAAGAAATCTTTACCTAATCCAAGATCACAAAGAAGTTAATGCATGGATAAATCTATCCTATAAATCCAGGGATGCACAACCTGTGTATTATGATTGATAGACTC